CAGAAAGTCACATTACTGCTGTGCCTTAAATTGAATCAAGAGTGTCAGACATTCCAGCATTAAGAGCTTTGGTCTATAAGTCAGGACAGCGGAATGGGAAATCAAACTCACCAGTAATTGACACTTGACATTTCTAAAGTCCAGTCCTTATTGGAGTAAATGCAGGAATGATACTTAACGGTTACCAGATTATTATCTGAAGGCAATAGGAACTTGGTCTTGAAAATGTGGCTAACTCGGTTCCATACTCAATGTAATTATCTAAGAGGGGCTCGGAAACCTAAGGGCTTTCAGCTACCTTTGCTTCTGTTCTGTAAGGAAAGAGGATGATCCAAAACTATGGTCTAGGTACTTTTTTTTTTTTTAGTATTAGAAACCTTGATCAAAATGAACTCTTAGGTGGAAATTCAATTTACCTAATGTCTTAATTTATTCAGTCAACAAATACTTGCTGTGTGCCATTGTTCAAAGTACTGGGGATACAGCTGTGAATACAATGGACAAAAAGCCTAGACCTCATGGAACTTACACTTTAGAAGAAGGGGTGATACGGTTGAAGGGTCTATGTGAGCTGGCAAAGGCAAAGAGTAGAGCTCCTGGAGCTCTTTAGTATGCATAAGAACTACCTGGAACGCTTGTGGAAGGGCAGGTCCCTACCCTTCCTGCCCCAAGTCCCTCCAGACTCTGATTCTGTAGGTCTCCAGGAAGGAAATTCGGATTTTTAACAAGTACTCTAAAGTATTTGATGCAGGTGATACAGACCACACTGGAGAAACAGAGCCCTAGAGTTCCCAAGGCACAGTTTACAAACTACGTGCATAGATTATTTCTCTAGGGATTGGCCTTTCCATCCTTTTTCTCAGGCAGCCATCAAGAAGCACGTGATGGATGTCCCCATTGAACTAGAACCTGAGAAATGCTTGAAGTTTCATTAGAGGTATTTTTTTGTGCCAAAATCAGAGTCAAATAATAACAAAGTACTAAACTTCCAAAATTATCTTAGATTCCAAAAATACCCTTAACAGTAAACAGATGAAGAACTATTAGCTGCTCTTGAACCAAGTTCCTAGAGTGCTTGGCATATATTTCAGCACACCAACTTAGCTTAAGTGTCACAAGGATCTACTTCTGCCACCGTTTCCTGTTCTTAAGTAGTTGCTCAAGAAAGGTGAGCACTGTGACTCATCTGGGTCTCTGTGTCCCTTTGTGCCACCACAGTATTTGTCATATGGCAGACAATATATGCTTGTGAAATCCTTGAATAAATGAGATAATGAGTGAACAAGTGAATTAACAAATAATAAGCCAACCTCGCCTGTATTAGCTTGCAAATGAGGGGATCTCTCTTTCTACATTATGTCCAGCTTTCTTTCTAAGTCTCTGATTTTAATACTGAAAGAAGACAGGAATGAAAAGGAAATCAGCCACTAATTGACTGCTGCCTCCAAAAATTGACCCCCGCAAAAATTACAGAATGTTCTTCACTATGTGGTTTCAAGATTTGTAAGTCCTGGAATTGGCTACATTTCAAATCTATCTGTAAAAATACATCTACGAAAAAGAAAGCTTGTTGTATGGCAGTTTATAAGAGTTTGCTGGTCCTCTAACACCAGAGTTACATAAAGTTTCCACAGCATACCCTATTTCCATTGCAAAAACTTTTAACCTTGAAGTTAATCCCTCCCCAAATTTGATGATGATGATTGATGAAAATGACAGCAAAAGCCTCCAACTGTTTATTTAGGCATCACTGCCCTCTGCTGGATAGAATTAGAAGTTTCCATGTAAGTGTACTTAGTTTTCCAGAATCTCTGGACATAAATGGACTTTTAAAGTTATTCTTACCTAGTCAAATCCAGGGCTAAAACTGAGGATCAGTATTTGATTTTCTCCTTTTGCCTAAGGCTCCAATATGATTCAATACAACATTGTTACTGATCCTATCTTTATCCAAAATTGTGATGTTTTGTGCATTGGGAACTTTTTCGCATTAATTTTTATTTTCAATATCACAGTAAAATATTGTTTATCTTGATCGCTGAATCTTTTGACACTCCCTTAAATTTTGTCCCTATAGCAAATGCCTCACTTGCCTTACCCTAATCCCAGCCCTGGTCAAACTAGCCCCTAAACTACTTTCTCCAGGAAGTTGACAGCCACATTTGAACACTTCAGGAACATCTTCTTTGACTTCTCTCCCTAGGTCTAGGCTCCCTAAACTAGGGTCCTGAAGAACCATGTATCACTCCTTGCATAATTGCTGGATAAATATCTGACTCCACTCTAGACTGAGCTTCACGAAGACAGGAGACTTGTGTGGAATTTTTTCTAAGCACAGGATTTTCAATATCAGTAGTTAGAGAATAAATATAAGTTGAATGAAAGAATTACCAAATACCAGTGAAAGAAGGAAGATCCGTGTGGCAGCATTTTTCATACTTAGTCAGCTGTATTAGAGCAAAGTAATAATAGCAGCAATAGCAAAAACAACTGCTATTTCCTGACCACTTACTGCATGGTGAACTTTGTGCTAAGTAACACATGGTCTCATTTAATCCACACAACAATCTTGCATGGCATGGACTATTATTACCCACATTTCAGCAGAGGAAGAATCTAAGGCTTAGAGAAATGCAGAAACCAGAAACATTTCTTTCTGTAGCTTTCACATTGGTTCTAGAAATTTCCCTTGATAACACTTTTATGTATCACACAAAATAATTCCATCAAACAAGACTATAAATAGACAATAACTAAAAAAAAGAAAAAATAATAATTCCAAATCTCACCCAAAGAGGATTATATACCTGTTATGTGAAAGGCTCTAGACTAAGATCTTCAGGGGATGAAAAGGAAAAGCAGAGCAAATTTCTCTCTGAGATCATCAGTTTAGGAAAATATAGAATATTTTAAAAATTAACTACGCAGGCCGGGCGCGGTGGCTCAAGCCTGTAATCCCAGCACTTTGGGAGGCTGAGACGGGTGGATCACGAGGTCAGGAGATCGAGACCATCCTGGCTAACACGGTGAAACCCCGTCTCTGCTAAAAAAATACAAAAAACTAGCCAGGCGAGGTGGCGGGCGCCTGTAGTCCCAGCTACTTGGGAGGCTGAGGCATGAGAATGGCATGAACCTGGGAGGCCGAGCTTGCAGTGAGCTGAGATCTGGCCACTGCACTCCAGCCTGGGCGACAGAGCCAGACTCCGTCTCAAAAAAAAAAAAATTAACTATGCAAATGCTAATGTAAAAATAGAAGGTCTAGTAGGGTCACCGTCATAAGAGAAGGAATAAATGTGAGAGAAAGATGATAATCTGGTTGGAGGGATCAGGAATCCCTTCATAGGAGGTGGCAGCATGTCAGCTAAGCTCTGAAGGAGAGACGAAATATTAACAGGTAGAATTAAGGGTAGCAGGAGGGAGAACAATTGAGAAAGAGGCAACAGTCCAAGGTAAACCACCTTTACAAAAATCATAACAACAAGAATTACAACAGTGAGAGAGATCTGATCTAAACAACTCTATCTTGCCTTTAATGTCCAAACTGCCCATAGTCATTCCTGAGTGTGGGCCAAGCTAATTTAGGGAGAAATTCAGTTTATAGCTTGATTAATAATAGCCTTTCCCCAAAACTACCACCTCTGTAAAACTAAAGGCCACCAGGTTAGGAGGATGAGAGGGGCCTCAATTCGTAGTTAAATGACTACCAGCCATTATTCTGGAAGTCATAAGATTTGCAACTTCCCCAAGTACTCCGTAAATAACATCACTATTGCAGAATCTGAGATTGACCTCTTGAGATGTCTTTTCAGACTTTTGCATTTCTAATGATGGGATGGTCCTACGGGGACCAGCGACTCCTCTGTAGCCCCCACCCAGAAGCAGACTCAGCGCTGGAGGACGGTTTTCCACACCCCTATGATTGCATTACCAACCAATCAGCAGCACCCATACCCTAGCCCCTGCCCACCAAACTATGGTTGAAAAATCCTAGCCTCCAAATTTTCAGGGAGGCTGATTTTAGTAATAATCAAACACCAGTCTGCCATCTAGCGGGCTCTGCACGTATTAAACTCTTTCTTTATTGCAATTCCCCTGTCTTGATAAATCAGCTCTATCTTAGCGGTGGGCAAGAAGAACACACTGAGGGGTTACACAAGCACAAGGAAAGAGGCAGGAGCGTGTGTGTGTGTGTGCGCGCATATGTGTGTGTCTGTGTGTGTGTGTACGGGAATGTTCCAGCTTGTCTGCAACACATGGCACACATAGAGAAGTAAAGGGACATGGGGCAGGGATACAGACTGGAACATAGCACCGAGGCACCCCCATGCCAGGCCAAGGGACTCTTACATAAATATTTCCTACTAGAAGGAAAGAACGTTCTCGAGCAGGGAAATGCTGTGAAGCTCAAACCTTCCTCCCCCACCAAAATCCATTGCCTTGGGCTGCTGGTAGTTCCTCTGGCTAATAAGGATACCTCATCCGAGCCATTTCCATTTCCAGGCTTTGTCACCTGCTGAGGCCAGAAAGGCAGTGAAAGTGTCTGGAAGCATTGGTGGTCTAGGGAGGGTGGCCCCTGGTGGCCACTCAGCTAAGCAACGCGGTGGCAGAGGCAGCAGGGGAGGCCCCACTGAGCCACGTGGGTCTGGGTTGGAATAACAGAGTAAATGGTGGGCAGCAACTTAGCCCTGGCGTTATTGGTGAGGCTGGGACGTGGGCTCTCCAAGTCCCACTGTGGAGGAGGTGCTGGCAACTACGTGCACACCGTTGCTAATCGTAAAATCCTTGGAAGACCTTGATGTAGTTCTTGTGTTCAATCATGGCTCAGAAAGGAGCATTATTTAGTCAGTGAAAACCACAAAAACATTTTTTCTACAATCAGTAAACAAGTTGGAAATTATTAGAATAATTTGGTGAGTGATATGCGCCAGAATTACTTATATCACTTGTTTTGTGACATAAAGTTTAGTTTAGAGAATCAGAAACACATTTCTGATTTTCTTTTTTTTCTTTAACACTTCACAAACTTGCGTGTCATCCTCATGCAGGGACTGTGATAATGTTCTCTGTATCATTCCAATTTTGGTATGTGTGCCACTAAAGCAAGGACTGTCATTTTCTCATTCACTTATTTATCTATACAACCATAGCAGTTGTTGGGTGTTTTAAATACCTCTCAGGTTTGCAGCCATTCATTCACATAGAGACAGAAAGCTGTCATGAGGGCCTGGCAGCAAATGAGGGGACATGAAGTTGTCCCTCCTACACAGTGACTGAGCCGACTTCCCTGCACCCAAGACCATTCCCACCCACCCTGCAGAGCTCTGTCCTATGACATCACCTGCTGACTCCCCTAAAATAGCACATTGATATAATGTAGATGTGGTTTACTTTTTCCTTCAGAGGTGGAGGACACTGTTACCAGAAGAGAACGGGTTTATTGCCTGATTAACTGGCCTAAACGGTAGGTGAGACGTAGTCATCCATTTCTCATTAGTGAAAGCTGGCTTTGTGCCAAGCTCTGTGCTAGACTCTAGGACACAGTAAGAAGAGATGAGCAAGCAAAGGAGCCTCTGGAGGAAGGACACCAGCCCAGACTTAGAGGGTAGGAAAGGCTTTTGGGAGAAAGTGGTGTTGACAACGCTGAGACCTGAGAAATGAGTAAATGTTAGCCAGGCTCTTCAGATGCTGGGGAGGAGACAGGGAAAAAGAGAAGAGAGGAGGCAGGGAGAAGGAGCAGCACACAACTGCAGGAAAAAATAGTAATTTCTTAAAGACTTGCAAGAGAAAAAATGTAGTTCCTTGGGGGAAGTGGATGCTTCTTAAGCCTGGAGCACTGAGCACAAGGTGGGCGCTATAGTTTGGATGTTTGTTTGTCCTCTTCAAGCCTCATGTTAAAATTTAATCCCCAGTGTGGCCATGCTGGGAGGTGGGGCCTAATGGAGGATGTTTGCGTCACGGAGATGGATTCTGCATGAATACATTAATGCCCTCCATGGGAGGCGAGGGTAAGTGAGTTCTCACTCTATGAATTCCCTCAAACATTGGTTGTTAAAAAGAGCTGGCACCTCCCACTTCTCTTGCTTATCCCCTCTCAGCATGTGATATCCGCACACACCGACTCCCCTTCCCCTTACACCATGAGTGGAAGCAGCCTGTGGCCCTCACCCAATGCGGATGCCCAGTCTTGAACTTTCCAGTCATTGGAATCATAAGCCAAATGATCCTTTTTTCTTTATCAACTGCCCAGCTTCAGGTATTCATTTACAGCAACACAAAACAGACTAAGACAGTGGGGAGCTGGGAGATGTAAGACTGGGGTGACAAGCAAGGCCCAGGTCACAAAGGTCTTAATGAGCCACATGAACCAGACTGGGCTTTATTGTGAGAGTAATGGGAGGATGTTGAAAAGATTCAACAGAAGGGTAATGTAATCAGATTTGCATTTGAGACAGGGTACCCTAGCTGCAGTGTAGGGACTAGATGGGAGAGGGCTAGACTGGAAGCAGGGAAACAGTAAGGATGCTTGCTGTGGTAAATCAGGTGAACGAAAGATGATGGTGTCAGAACTTACCTAATGACCATGGAGTTGAGAGAAGTGGGCATTTCACACACTATTTATTACACAGAATTAAAGACCTTGGTGACTGATGGATGGTTTTAAGAACTGAAACTTAGTGTCTCTCCCAACCCCTGCCAAAATTTATATTTTGAACCCTTAACTTTTATGTGGCTATATTTGGAGCTAGGGCCTCTAAAGAAGCAATTAAGGTTAAATGGGGCCATAAATATGGGGCCCTGATCCAATAGGATGTGTCCTTCCTTATAAGAAGAGACACCAGAGAACTTGCTCTCTCTCTCTCTCTCTCTCTCTCTGCCTGCCACGTAATGACACATTAAAAAGGTGGCCATCTGCAAACCAGGAAAAAAACTCTCACCAAAAACTAAATTTACCAGCACATTCATCTTAGACTTTCAAGCTTTCAGAACTGTGAGAAAATAAATTTCTGTTGTTTAAGTCACCTAGCCCATGATACTTTGTCATAGCAGCCTAAGCAGACTAATACAGATGGGGGTTCACAGACAGAAAGGAGTCAAATGGGACCTCCAGGGTTCTAGCAACCTGGAATGCCAGCACTGATAGGTGTACACAGGAGGAACAGGCTTGTGGGGAGGATGAGTTCCAATCTGGGCACATAGGGTTTGAGGGACTATAGGACATCCAGGTAGAGATGCCCAGTAGGCAGTTGGATACATAAGTCTGGAGCTCAGAAGCAGCAGCTAGATCAGATATGTAGATTTAACAATAAGCATATAACTGATAATTAAAGCCTTGAAACAACAAGAGATTTCTCAGGAAGAGAATGAGGATGAATAAAATGAAAAAAAAAGACTGAGGACATACATCAAAAAATCACCAATGTTTAAGGAACGGAGAGGAAAAAGAAGAACTTTTGGAGAAGTTTAAAAGTGGAAGGGGAAAAAATCAAAAAATGATGGTGGACAAACATAAGTGGGGGTGTGGAAACATCAAGAGGGAAAGCATGAACAATAGCATTGGCTGTTTATGGGAAACTAAGTTAGGTCAAGGTAGCGAAGGGATGCATGGGTTCAGCAGTGCAGGGGATGCTGGCAACCTGGAAAAGAGGACCTTCAGTGGAGTGGCAAGGGCAGAGTCAGGTGCAGAGTAAGGGGCAGAATTAGCAGAATAAACTCTGAAAGAAGTGGAAGCAAAACAACAGCAGAAATAAGATCAAAGCATATTTGTAAATATTTTTACTCTTGAGCTGTAATTTTTTAATAGATGTAAAAGGAAGATGGAATTTGTTACTAGAAGGCATAAGGAGACACTTTATTTGTGTAATGCTATGTCTTAAATTAGACTATATGGCAGGTTAGAAATGAAGTCACATTTCAACCTCATGTGGAACTAGATTGGTATATTTTGTTCAGATTAGGTTTTAATGGAAATGAAGCCTCGTGAACTTTTAAGCTTTCAAAATGGTTACTTTTGTTTATTTGTAAACTGGCTTGGGAGCAACTATAAATACATTCTGACATCAGGCAAATTCCAGGAAAGTTATCTCTGTGTGTGTAATATTGGTTGTCATTATGGTGATTTGGAGACAATAATACTCCGTACATTATTATAACCGAATGATCCATAATGACCCAAAGCCTTACTGAACTATTGTTGAGATAGAAATCTCTGGACTGTAGTAAGAGTCTTGGAAGTGCTAACTCTTGCCTTCTCCCTCTACCTCCCACTTTTTCTCTCCCTCTATAATCATCCAAATGTGAGAGCACTAAACCAACACTTGGCAAAATCCTGCTAACATTATTTTGAGACGTTTCTGTTTACTTGTGAGCTTTAATTCCTCTGCAAGGAGTTCTTCCCTGCTCTCAAATCCCCAAATGTATTGGAGGATTCTATCACTCTCCTCCTGCCTCCAAATCCCAGAACTTGGCCCATCCAAGACCCATAACCTTCCTTTCCCTCTGATTCTCTTCTGCTCCTCCCAAGTCCAGGCAGACTTTATCCAGTATTTATGTGGGAGAACTGGCTCTAACTGTTCATGTGCTTTTCCAAACTTTGTGTTTGCCTGGTCTTCACTTAAAAAACAAAAAAGTTAAAAAGTACTTTTCTTTCACCTGCAATCTGCTCTGTGTCAGCCCATCCCTATGGCATTAAGATAAATTTCGTACTGCATCAGACTGACAAAGATGTACAAAACCTACAGAGAGGGAATTTTAGTTTATATCTCAAAATACTATCTTGCCACTTAAACAAATAAAAGAGAGAAACAGAAAGGAGGAGGAAGGAAAGAAAGAGGAAGGAAGGAAGGAAGGAAGGAAGGAAGGAAGGAAGGAAGGAAGGAAGGAAAGAAGGAAGAAAGGAAAGAAGGAAGGAAGGAAGGAGAGAAGGAAGGGGAGAAGGAAGGAAGGAAAGGAGGGAGGGAAGGAGGGAGGAAAGTCATCAGATTTAATTTAAAAATTAGATCACCCCCATCATCTAACAACACAATCACTGGGAACAATTTTGATATATATTTTTTCAATTTATTATCTATATATCCATCTATATATTTCTACTATGTCTATCTTTTGCTACCTGTAGGTTGCAGTCTGCTTTATTGAATGTAATAATTCACTTCTCTCATGCTTCACAGCATTACTCCATTCTGAAAAGCCTTTTTAAATTAAAAAAGTAAATTTAAATGTTTTCTTTAATTTTTAATGAAAAAATTTATGACACATTTTTATCTTAACCTACCTTACCTAAACAATTTTCACATTGCTAACTATGCAATAAAATCAAGTTTATACAAACAACTGACAACAGTATTCTGAAATATCTGAATATGGTTTGTACACTGACTAAAATAAAATAAAGATCTATTGTACTCACAAAATGAGGATGAATAGTCTTTGTAGTAGATGTTGGTTGGGGACATTTGTGAGAAAGTCATTCCTTTGGAAGATGAATTTTCTATGCACCATTTTCTTTACCAATTTTTCACATCTTCAGGGATTCATGATTATATTTGACACTCAAATTAGAAATAATTGGACTTAGAAATAAAGTTAGAGCACTGAAAGCTATCTGTAGGGCAAAATAAAGCTTAAGTCTTTGCATTAGTCTGTTTTCATACTGCTATAAAGAACTGCTCAAGACTGGGTAATTTATAAAGGAAAGAGGTTTAATTGACTCACAGTTCAGCAGGGCTGGAGAGGCCTCAGGCAACTTACAATCATAGCGGAAGGCACCTCTTCACAGGGCAGCAGGAGGGAGAATGAGTGCAAGCAGGGGACATGCCAGACGCTTATAAAACCATCACATGTCATGAGAACTCACTCACTAACACGAGAACAGCATGGGAAAACCGCCCCCATGATTTATTCACTTCCCACTGGGTCTCTTCCACAACACGTGGGGATTATGGGAACTAAAATTCAAGATGAGATTTGGGTGAGGACACAGCCAAACCATATCAGTTTTATAATTTTTAGTAACGTATGGAAAGAGCACACAGAGACACTATGTCTTTACCCCACTGGATTGGTGAACCTACACAAAGCAAAGTATTTTAGAATCACCTAACATT